TTAAGAAAGACTAGATTGTTGACACTAGAAGGTCATGATTTGTTGTTGGGTTGGCATGCTTTTTTATGGTATAAGGGAACCAAAACACAGGGTTACTTTTGAAGACATTATATACAGGAGTCTTTGTGGTTAAACTGGGAGAAGATAAAAAAAACAATGTTATCTGAAAATTCCAGTTTGGTTATCGACGATAGAAGCATTTTCTTATCCTATAATCTATAAGAAGGGACAAACAGTTAGATATGGGGAATTATTAGATGAAAAGGGTGAACTTAAATCGATGCAAAATCTAGAGGAACAAGGTATAAAGATGAATTGGTTTTCATATGTGCAAATACACTCAAGGTATGATGAAGATTCTAAAACAGAGGGATTTTATGATAAACAGACTGATTTAGATAAGATCTTGACAGGTACTGACGAAAAGGTGATTTAAAAACTATATGGTTATTTATTGGGAATTAAGCTAGAGGAAGAACAAGTTAAAGAAACTATGATTGCTTGGGGGAGGAATTTTGGATATGGGATTGATTTAGAGAAATGGCAAAAATTCTGGTCTCAAAATTATAAAATGACAATGTCAACAGCATATAAAGAAAATTTGTATAAGATGTTTTACAGGTGGCATTTCCCCCCGACAAGAATAGCAAGAATGTTCAAGAATAAATCTGAAAAATGTTGGAAACTTGGCTCATTTTACCATATGTGGTGGACTTGTGCAGATGCCAAAAAATACTGGACTAAAATCTACATGTGGTTGGAGAAAATGACGAAAAAACTTATAGACTTGAAACCAGAGATATTTTTATTGGGAATTTTACCTGAAATATATAGTAAAGACTTGAAATACCTGATTGTAAATGTATTAACAGAGGCTAGGATTGTGTTTGCTAAAAACTGGAAAAATGAGAAGATACCATCACACGAGGAAATCATTAAGAAAATATTGGAATGTGCTGAAATGAGTAGATTGACATTTGAAATTAGAGAACAAGAGGATAAACAATTTTATAAAATTTGGGATCTTTTCTATCAATGGTTAGATAATAAAGTACAGTAATGAAATAGGTAGATTTCTAGAAAATAATATATAAAGATGTATTTCTTTTTTATTATAACTACACTATGGTCACAAAATTATAAAATGACAATGTCTACAGCTTATAAAGAAAATCTGTATAAGATGTTTTACAGGTGGCATTTTCCCCCGACAAGGATAGCAAGAATGTTCAAGAATAAATCCGAAAAATGTTGGAAATGTCATCAGATACCTGGCTCATACTACCATATGTGGTGGACTTGTGAGGATGCTAGAAAATACTGGACTAAAATCCACATGTGGTTGGAAAAAATGACAAAGAAACACATAGATTTGAAACCGGAGTTTTTTTTATTGGGAATCGCACCAGATGTATACAGTAAAGACTTGAAATATTTGATTGTAAATGTATTAACTGCGGCTAGGATTGTATTTGCTAAAAATTGGAAAAATGAGAAAATTCCATTGCAGGAAGAAATTATTAAGAAAATATTGGAATGTGCTGAGATGAGTAGATTGACATTTGAAATTAGAGAGCAAGAAGATAATCAATTTTATAAAATTTGGGACCTTTTCTATCAATGGTTGGATAATAAAATACAACAATAGAATATTTAGAATGTTAGGTAATAAGGAATATCTTTGTTTTTTCTTTTTTTTTTTGCTATTTGACATCACATTTATAAAGTCTTTTTTTTAGGATAGAATTGGTATGACTATATGATTTGTTATAGAATAAATTACATAAATTATAGTTATCTCATAAAGTATGAATGAATAAAAGTATAGTCAAATGATTTTTTTAATAATGATATGAGGATATATAAGTTTGGATTGATAATATGAGTTATTATGTAACATAACTGTAATTGAGACTACAAAATGAATGCACAAAACTGATGAACCAACCGACACACTGTTTGTATATAAATACGGAAGAGAGCTGATGCTTTTATGTTTTGTTTGTTTTGTTTGTTTGTAAAAAAACCAATAAAATTGTTTTTAAAAAAAAACTTATAAGTAATTTTTAGAAAGGAGGTTTTATGCCTTTATGTCCTATGTTTTGTCTGTCTTTAAAAAATCAATAAAATCAGGTGTTTTTTTTTTTTTTTTAAAGAAGGACCTTCTCTGTGGGGCTCCCTCTCTTTGGAACATCATCCCCACAGAGTTTAGAATGGGGTTCCCTCACTTCATCACTCTTTCACCCAAAGGCCCCAAAGATCTGTTTGCCAACAGGCCTGGAAAACCCAGATGGGATCAATTAATCAATCAGAATAGATTTGGAAAGGACCTTGGAGGTCTTCTAGTCCAACCCCCTGCTCAAGCAGGAGACTCTAGTCAGAGGTGACTGTCCAGTCTCTTCTTAAATAACTCCTTTGAGGGATCAGCCACAACTTCTGGAGGTAAACTATTCCATTGATTAATTGTTCTCACTTTCAGGAATATTTTTCCTTATCTTCCTTCCTTCCTGGGCTCCATCAATGTCTCAAATTGTATAGGGTTGTATAGACTAGAAGATCTCCAAGGCCCCCTCCAGCTCTATTCTGATAGATTGAAATGGCTTGTTTAACTGCTTATTGCTTCACAGGGGCATGGGGAATTATTGGTTTTACTCTTTGTATATTGGAATTTTTTTTTGGGGGGGGGGAGGGGGTAAGTTACATAGAGTCACCAAAAGTGAGTTGGCAGCCAAATAAATTATCTGTAAAACCAACTATGTATATTTGACTACCAGATTTTGTCTGGGAATTTTATAAATAATTTTTTATAAATATTTATTGGAGGTAGAATTAGAGCAAGAGATAGTGAAAGGGAACATGATAACGTGGAGTAGGAATATTGGAAGAAGCATTACATTAACAGAATGGGAAAAGATCTGGAATAGAAACATCAAGATTATGAAATCCGCGGCGTACAAAGAAAATATGTATAAAATGTTATATAGATGGCACTTACCCCCTTCGAGGTTGGTGAAGATGAACCCTAACATGAGCTCAAGGTGTTGGAAATGCAAAAGCACTGAAGGAACATTTTTCCACACATGGTGGTCTTGTAAAACTACCCAAAAATTTTGGCAAAAAATTAGAAAATGGTTGGAGGAGATAACTAAAGAACAAATAGACTATAAACCAGAGTTCTTCCTGTTAGGGATCTCTGATAGATATTTATCCAAAAAGACAAAATATGTAATAATCCATATTCTAACCGCAGCTAGATTAGCCTTTGCTCAATGTTGGAAATTACCTCATACACCTTCAGAGCAAATGGTTATTCAGAAAATTTGTGAGTGTGCTGAAATGGATAAATTAACGATAGCATTAAAAAACAAAGAGTCCTCAACATTTTACGACAACTGGGACTCATTGTATAATTGGCTTACACAGAGACAAATTATGTAAATGATAAAAAGTAACCTAAACATAATGGAAAAGAGAAGTAGATTGGATATGATGAAGAGAAATGATCCTTACAGACTGTCACAAAAAGATATCATTCGTTTTTAATTGTATTTCTACCCTATTCCCCCTCCCCTTCCCTTCCCTTCTCTCCCTCTATATCCTTTCTCTTTCCCCCAACCAGCCTTTATCCGGTGTGCTAGGCCGGGTGTTTTCCTTCCTTCCCCCTACCCGTCTTTCTTTCTACTTTGTAAATGTATTGTCGATGTGTTTTTAAATTGTAAATTTAATAAAATCTATTTTTTTAAAAAAGAAAGAAAATAGATAATTCTTTGGCTATATATAAATTAATAGACTTAAACTGCTAGTCTAAACAAACAGAAGCAGCTAGTCAGTCTTCAAGGACAGCCCCATAAAGAATGGCTCCTGGTAATAAAAATCATGCTGTGACAAAATGGGCATCATTATCCTCATTATGTCTCATTCTAGGAATGGCTCTTCAAAAATGATTTCAATCATAGTGTTAAAGAAGTTTTCATCCAGTTTGAAACCACAGGTGTTTCTCCTTCCATGTCTTAGATGTCTTCCTATGGATGACCTCTTATCACAGTTTTACCCAGCACTGTAAATGATCTTAAACAAGAAAGCTTGCAGATATTAATAGGATTTTGCTTGAATACTGGTCAACTGTGCAGTGAGCCTTTAGATCAGGGGTTTCCACCCTTGGGCATTTTACTATGTGTGGACTTCAACTCACAGAATTCCTCAGCATGGCTAAATAAGGAATTCTGGAAGTTGAAGTCAATACATCGTAAAATGGCCAAAGTTGGAGTCCCCAAAAGGATTGCTTCATTTTATACACTTCTGTTTGATGTGTCTTTAAGGCCAGGATGGTGGTACCACTGCATTTGATTGTTATTTAACAATATCTCATCACCCAGGGAGTATGTGTAGCTTAAGAGGTGCTACGGATGTGGGTGAGTTTTGCTCCACAGTTATGAGGCCACAGTCATACCCCTGTGAATATTTTGTATATACTTATATGGATTATATGCATATGTTTTCTTCTCTTTTGTCATGGTCTCATCATACCCACATATATACATACATACTTAAAAGTGTGAAAGTCTGTGAAAAGCTGTGAAAGTCTGACTCACAGATGAACACAATACAGAAGCCTGAAGATGACAGATGAGATTCTGCCGAAACGTTGCTACAACTTTAAAAGCACAACTATAATGATGTGGGAAAATACTCGAACAAAGCTAAATACCATACATGTAAATACCCGCAAAAACTTAAGAAAACAAATACATACTTAAATATATACATAAATACATACTTAGATACATACATACGTACGTACGTACATACATACAAATATACACATTTCCTGTTTTATCAGAATTCTCCAAATTGAAATATCCAAAGACTAATATGTCAATGTTTCTTTCCCTGGGCAAGGAGATGAATTGAATGGAACTAGATGATTTGATCCTGTGTTAGGTTCTGTTTTTCTATTGTTTTATGGAACCACAGCTGGCAAATATGTTCTGCTTTTGATGTTAGTTGAGCAGCTGGTCTCTTCCAGAGAATTTATGAGTGGCCATGAATATAGTTTTCTCCACTGTGGCTCTTGCACAGTAATACACAGCTGTGTCTTCAGTGTTCAGGTTTGTCAACTGCAGAAATGTGGTGCTGATAGAAGTATCTACAGTGATAATGACTCGACCTTTCAAAGCTTCAGCATAGAATGTATTAAAGTTGTCTGTCCTAATAGTGCCCACCCAGTTCAGTCCTTTTCCTGGGGCCTGTTTGACCCACCTCAAACTATAGTCAGTGAAGGTATATCCAGATGTCTTGCAGGTCAATTGTATCAATTCACTAGGCCTTTTTATTTCTGGACCAGACTGAAGAAGCTGTATTTCAGACTGCATTCCTGTTGATAAGAAAAATAAGAATAAAAGTAGGAATACAGGAGGAGGAGGAGGAGGAGGAGGAGGAGGAGGAGGAGGAGGAGGAG